CCTCTATATATGATGAATTATTATTTTATAGCTTTACCTTTTCTTGGAGTATTTCCTTACTATAGACTTAGCCTTTTGTAACATGTTTATGATATTTCTAATGTTCACCTGCATGAGTTTCAGAATTAGATCTTTAGAATTCATGTGAATACATGTTTGTTTGGTAATTCAGTATAGATTGTATGTTCTTATGTTAGGAAGGAAAGTATATTTTGTGGTAGGTAAAGATTTAGCATTTAATTTGCCTTGGAAGGGCCTCATTGGCATTCAAACCTGTAAAGAAAATATGTTGTTAGTGTTTAAGGGTATTTGAGAGTGGGGTTCATTGCCCCTGGGTCTTGAGTCCCTTGGGAACTTTGAAGTGTCGGGGGATCCAAAGGGGGCATTGACCTTGAGTGGCGCTTCCTCCTTAGCTCTTATTTCATTGACATATTTAGTTATTTAGGTGTTAAATGTTCAATGACAATGAAAAGTTTTCAATGTGGATTATTTGCTACGTAAAGCAACCACATTAATATAATTTCCCACCATATTGATCATTTCCTTGTTTCAATTATTTATTTATATACCTGTCATGTGCATTTGAAAATGCTAAGAATATGGAATATATTATAATAATTTTTTTTTTACTCTTTTGGGCATGTGTACATTTGGGCTTGCTGAGTTCTTAAGGAACTCATGCCCAAACCAGCCTTGCTGCACCTTTGAAGAAGTCCAATATTTCTATAGTCGCACCTCTCAAATCGCTGGGCCTACCTTACTGAAGCTCAATCATTAGAATCCTGTCCTCTCTCCCTACTTCTTTTGTTATTGTTCATCATTTTCATAGCTTAGTTTACAGCCTTCATATTGTTCGCTTACTGCCCTTGTTGTTTTATCATATGATGCCCTCTTCTATTTAACACTCATATATTAGATTATGTGTTTTTCTTTTATGCTCTAGTATTACATAAAACTTTGGCAAACCCTAATTAATATAGGACTTAAAAGAAAATAGCTAGTAATTGATCTTCGCCTCATGTTAATTTCAACTTGTTCATCTTATATACTCACTCTTCTTTAAGGTTTTAAATCTCAGGTCTTTAATCAAAACGACAGCTTTTTTTCAAAAAAATTATGAAAGAGTCACTAACAAGGAACAAAGTCAGATTTTTATAAAAAAAAAGGCAATAACGAACAGTCTCAAATGAATTTCCAAAGACTCGCTTCTTCAGATTTTTTGAAAATCAAGGTACATTTAAAAACCATATTTCTTACAAACAATTCTTAAGATTACTCAAGCATCAATTCTTCAAAGATAATCACTTTTCTTAACATAATAACTTAAGCTTTAAAATATATATCACTTTCAAAACTCTCATAGCCTCCAATAACTCTTTTATAATCCCATACCCTTCTTAAGCCTTACACATACATTTCCTTTAGTATATAGCAAGCCCTGCCTTAGTGATAATCAAAGCATAGTGTAAATAACTGAGTCTTTAAAATTAGTTTAGGTCCTATGGAGCTATCTCCGGTAGATTTTAAGGGGTGCCTAACACCTTCCCCTTAGAAGAACAAAAACCCTTACCCATAATCTCACCACTTTGTAGACCTGTAATGAACATAACTTAGTAATAGGTACCTTAGTATATCTTTAAATATTAGGCGCTGACTGTCTTTTATTAACAACAGAGAAACTACAAGTTGAATCATGTCTTGACTAGTACAAAATAGGGTGCAACACCTCATATGCTGAATATTCCCCGTGGAGTTGGGAATTTGATGACTTGGTATAAGCTGGAGGGGACGACCTTCATGGGATGTATCCACAGCCATCCCATTATGGCGTTGTACGCAGTGTCTTGGTCCATGATGTGGAATGTTGTTTCCAAAGTCACGCCGCCAGCCAAAGCGGGGAGTGTAACTTCTCCGAACGTCTGTTCAACTGCATTGTTAAAACTAGTTAGCGTGATGAAGCGAGGTACTATCTTATCCTTGAGTTTCAGTTGGGTAAGTACTCGGGGATGGATAACACACACTCTGCTCCCATCATCTATCATAATGCGTTTAACAAAATATCTAAAATTCGCAAAGTAATAACGTGGGCGTCATTATGAGGAAAAGCCAAACTGTCTGCTTCCGACTTGTCAAAGATGATACTTTGTTTGAGTTTGTCGTACCGTTCACGAGTGATAGATTGCTTGAGTTTGTGGGTAGTGGTGAACTTCACACTGTTGATAGAGGCGTCATCGCCGTTGCCGATGATTATGTTGATGGTACGAGCTGGCGAGAGTGGCTTAGGTGGTCCTTGGTGTTTGCGTCCTCCCGCAAAATTGGCTCTCCCCTTATCACTTAGCAGCTCTTTAAGGTGTCCATGTCGTAACATGTTCACGACTTTTTACCTCAGGGCGATGCAATCTTCGGTTTTGTGCCCTCGTTCCTGGTGAAACTCACAGAGGGCGTAGGACTTTCTGGTGTTTGGGTTCAATCTCATATTTATCGGCCACTTCACTTTTGGCACAAGCTTCTCCAGAGCGTAGACTATCTCTGTAGGTGACACACAAAAAATGTGAGTAGATAATAGGGGGCATACCTCTATCATTCCGATAAGTTCCCATCCTTGGTCTGGATGGACCTTCTTCATAGTGAGGGGNTCTTTTGGCATTGTCTCTTCTATCCTTTCTTGATTCGGCTTGTACCGAGGTAAATCAGTGGGTTGGTCCGTTGAGGTCATCCTCATCTGCACGGACCTCGACACAATAAGCATTGTGGATTTCATCACAAGTGGTACTTCATCAACCAACTCAACAATTTTTTAGTTTCTCTTAAACCATCACTACTCAGCCCGTTCTGAAAAATTATGACCGCTATCCCTTTGGATACATATGGCAACGTCATCCTTACTTGGTTGAACCGGACGAGGAAATCCCTCAGTACATCTCCCAGAGACTGTTTAATAGAAAATATGTCGTTCACTCTCGCCTCGGCCTTCTTGGCTCCAGTGTGGGTTGTTACGAACTTGTCGGCCATTTCTTGAAAAGTTTCTATGGAGCGTGCTGGTAGTTGTGAATACCAGGTTAGCGCCCCTCTTGTGAGGGTTTCGCCGAACTTCTTCAGCAAAATGGAAGACACCTGTTCTTTGGTGAGGTCGTTGCCTTTTATGGCGGTGACGTAATGAGTTACATGATCATTAGGTTTAGTCGTGCCATCGTATATCCTGAGGTAGGGCGGTATTTTGAAGGTTTTTGGTATGGCATGCAATTTTGCATCATCATTGTAGAGCTGCTCGACGAACCGGCCGACGTCCCTCTTCGACAACAACTTAGGAGCGCTCGGTATCTTCTCGACCCTTTCTTGGTGTTCTTTCATTTGATCTCGGAGCGCCTTGTTTTCATTTTCCATTTCTTCCATCCTTTTTGGATGGCCATGAGGGCACTGTCACCTGTATTGTCAATGACATTTTGAGTAATACCTATCGTTGAAGGGAGATGTGGGTTGCATTGTTCGTCTATTTGTTGTATCGTGTAAGTCCTTGCAGTTTCTGCAGTCACGCCTGGAGCGGACTTGCTGAGGATGCTCGTTAGCGTGTTGGTCAGCTATGCCTCGAGGAGTTTTTGTACAGCTGGGGCTGCCACTTCCTCTACAGACGTGGAGATTCCTTTGCCACGGGGTTTCATTATGCTACAGTGTGGGGGTGGTAACCCATCTCGCCTGGAGGATGCACTGGGCGTAGTGTCCTCACCCACTGTTTCACAGCTTTCATTGATGACGTTCATGAGGTTGGCTGGGATGTCACTTGTTATTTTCGTTCTTTCTTCTCGGTTACCTGCCATGTAGAGTTTTTTATGCACAAAGAAATGAGATCTTGGGTTTTGTGACGTTTGTGTCTCGTGTTAGTTGTACACCAAGAGGAAACTAAAAATTTTAACTAAGGAATCCCTACAGACGACGCCAAATTATTTAACCAAAAATATAAATCTTGGTTCAAATAATTAAATTTATATAAACAAAGGTTAATACTAGTTAATAATAATATTCTTAGATTTTAATATTAGAAAAAGCAATTTATAGGTGTTTATGCGGACAGTAAAGGAACCACGTGATAAATGATCTGAAAAACCAAGAACAGTGGTGTAGCATATAATATTCGATATGCATTAATAAATAGCATTTAAGTAGATAAGGGGAATGATTCAATCAATAAATGAACCTTCCGCCTAACAATGATTGAAAGATAAATCTTTGAATAATCGAGGATTTCTCGGATCTGGAGGTAAAGTGTAAATAAGAATTTCAGTGAAAAGTAGATCTTTGTATCGAGTGAAGACCGAATCTTTTTATCAAAGTGCTTTTCTTACAAAAAATCAATATCCCCCCTATCATTGTTTTTTTTTCTATTTATAGGGGACATATACTTCCAAGAAACCCTAAAAGTACAAGTGTGGAGAATATCCAAGGAAATATTCTCTTTAATATCTTATCTTGAAAACTAGTCGTTTCTGCCCTATTGAACATACTTGACCTCGACCTCAATCCTTGTTGACATCTTGACTACGACTTTCATCGACTCTTCGACCGCGGGTCGTGCAGCTTCTCGGACTGTCTTAACAAGTGATAGCTTGAGGATTCTTCCGTAATGTTATTTCTTTAATATTTTCTTTAATATCCTTTCCCTATTGAACGTACTTGACTTGAGGATTCTTCCCGTAATGCTATCTCGCTCTGAATATTCTAAAGGCGAATTTTGACCATACAATACGTACTTCATAACAAGCAAGAATAATCATCGTTGCTTATTGAAACTCCTCAATTGACTTATAAAAAGAGAGAAAAAAGGAAAAAGAAAAAGGAATACACACTGGAAATTCACGATGTCCGAAAAAAAGTAGGTTTTCATTATTCTTTTTTCATTTCTTCTGTTCTTTTTTCCCTTAATTATGCAAAAAAGTGGATGTTTAAAAGGCTAAACAAACTCCAGTTAGGAATGATACCATCATTTTCAGTTTCTACAAGAGCTCTTGACATCATATATAGTTTATTTAACAACCATCAAGTTACAAAATTGAACAGAATTAATAAATACAAAAGGAATATGATGAAAAAAAAATACAAAAAGGAACATGATACATATTGGCCCAAATCATCTTCACAAAAGGTTCGTACAATATCGTAAGCCGTAGAACCAAAAAAAAAAACAATGAAACAAAGACTACTCTTAACTATTCACAGCCGCACAGTGCTTCCTAATTTCACCAGCAGAGCCTGTCTTAACTTCAATTCTTCCCATTTTCTCCATTGCCTGAGCAAATTCAGTATAGAACTCTTTGAGTGATCCCTCGACGAGTTGGTTGACGTATGACTTTGTTGTAGTACTTGTTGTCAAGGCAGCATCAGATTGAAAGAGTCCTCTCCTTTTGAGTAGAAGCTTGTAATAGCTAAGATCAAATGTCCTGATACTCCCCGGGTCCATCTCAACTTTTGTTGTGTTATCATTGAGTGATTTACATTTTTTGGCCTTAAGGTTAGCTGCATATTCACTGTCTAGAGATGGATCTTGAGTACCAAAAGTTCCAGTGAAATTATATAAACGTGTTGAAAATGATGAGCAATGAGAGATTCCAATGGTGTGAGCACCTGAAAGAATTATATATTGTCCATGAAAATTTGTTAACACCTATACAGTGGCGACACAGGATTTTGCATAAGCAGCATCGATACACTTAATTAATTACCTCACTTGGCAGACAGTCAGGGGATAACAAGAAGAAGTGATAAGTATTTGAATTAGTTTTGGCTTACCTGATAATAGAACCAAGTCTTTGAGGTCAAGGCCCTTCTTAGCAAAAGAAGACTGGAGACTAGATAAGTTATTGAATGGAGCTGGAATATCTGTGGTTTCAGAAGCGTCAGAGATTCTTCCATCTCTTCTCCCAGTTGGCACATTCCAATAAGGGCCTCCCTATCATGCCCAAGAAGAAGATGGTCATAATAATTAATTGAAAATGAATGGTTAGAAGTATTAATCTATATAAAATGGCTAGGCAAAGTAAACAATGAATTCAAATGTATATTTGTGTAAATATCCTAAATGGTTAGGAAGAGGTTGGGAATTAGATAGTTCAAGTTCTTGGCTTACAGTGACCACAACAGAGTCTCTAGTAACCAATGCAACGATATCAGCACAAGAGACTACTCCAGGACATTCAGCTTCAACTACTTTCTTCACAGCATCAATGAAATCAAAGCCTCTCAGTGTTTGATTAGGGATTGCCACTTTTTCGGTCTGGCTTCCTGTACTTGATGTTGAATTCAGGAGCACTGAAGCATCACAACCCTGCAAAATCGCAAATTAACGCCACCCAAAAAAGGAGAAAAGATCAAAATAAGCATAACTACTATGCAATTGTCAAATGATATATTCAAGTGAAACATAACAAGACATATATAGTAATTAATAATTACCCTGACAAAGCAATCATGGAAATGCATTCTAATTAAGGCAGCAGCAAGAGATGGAGCATTTGGAATGTGATTCTGGACATAGTCTTGAATAGTCTTCTCTGCTTTTGGACAGCTCTTTGCATAAAAGTTTGGTTGCAATTGAGCATCGTTTGATCCTAGGAGCCCTAGAATACACATCAATATTAAAGGACACAAATAGCCTAATGTAGCCATTTTGTTTCTAATCCTCAAAAGGAGATTTTTTTTTTTTTTTCCTTTGTTGAATTTCTTGACACACATCAATTCCAAGAACATCTGAGTTTTTTTATAAGCACTAAGCTAGGCTTACCAAAGCTGACTAACATGTGCGCATATTAGTACTGCTCATCCTTTTCTACTTGTTTGTTTGATTAATTAGTTACAGTCTGTCTCCTTTTGTACCCATTCAGTAAGATTCATATTTCATAATCATATGGACCGACCTTTCCTTTTCTATACATAAATACTCTTATTTGATTTAGTTAAAAAAAAACGTAGGAATTAATTCATGACTGTATGTCATATTAGAGGTGGAGTTAAAATTTAAAGCTTATATGTTCTGGATTCTAGTCTTATTTTATTGGATTCTAAATTAATAATTTGTACGTTGTATTCAATGAATTTCTTTAGTCATATACATGGTTTGGACTAACGTAACTGGGCTCCGTCGCACCCGTAACTTAAAGGCTAGCTCCACCCTTAGTCATATATCCAACAAGGCTGAAGAATCAGTGACTGCACCAGAATTTAGAGAGCATGCACAACTAATCCAGAATTTAGACGACATGAGTTCTGGATGAATATATTAACTCGATACTACTATATATTTGTATTTCGCAAAAACATGATAAAAACGAAATCTTTGTGTTTGTGCTTTTCTTTGTCCCGCTAATTATTTTTTGCTTTTAATGGCTGCCATTATTGAAAAGTAGATAAAGCCACCTGCTCCTGGAGCTATATCTATTTGGGAGGTCCAAGTTCTATCAGTAAACAGGAACTAATAAGTAATAATATACCTGCTACCACAGTTAGCAGCCGGACAGCTTAATTATCTAATATTCTTTTGGCATGTCCACATCAATACTATTAAAACTGCTTTGCTACTTGTTTTCTTTCAAATTAATTCAGTGAGATCAAATGCTTAATACAATCAAGTAGCAAAATAAATGTAGAGATCAATCCAATAATGACTATTTGCAAGTCAAAAGACAATTCTGTTTTAAGAAATTGGAACATGGCAGTAGTTGATAGAAACTTCACCACAAACTAACAACTTTTAATTGTAAATTTTCAAGAAATTAATTTCTTCTTTTCAGAAGACCCCAATTAATTCTCATAAATAATAGGGTCAATAATGCAAAGTTTATTTTCTTTGTTGTAATTTGTAAATCTAGGTTGGGGTGGGGCTGGGCGGTCACCTCCATGTTTCTGTTGGATTTTGTGTTAAAAGTCAAGAACTGAGACTGTTGATGCATGTGGCCATGAACAAGGATATCGAGGCAATAATAAAGTCCCTAGTCAGAGTCACCTTAATTTTGTTTTTTCCCTTCCTTTTATTTCACTATTTTGGTCTGATTTCTTTGGTAGAACTATAGCTTCCATTTCTTCAAATGGCAACTGTAATTTCTTATTACTATGAAGAAGATAACACAAACGCAGAGGAGACTCGTGTGCCTACACAAACGTAGAGGATACATTATGAAACGTCATGTAACAACAATCCAAACAAGTTATTTACGCTTATTGAATTAAAAGAGAAAACTATACTAAACCGTAAACATAAAGACTAATGTGCCTACACTTATTAAATTAATTAAAAGATAAAACTATATTAAATACTAGGTAAATGTGGCAATTACTACCAAATTCTAAATTTATTCGATATTGAGACTCTAAGAGAGATTTTACCTCAAACAAAAAGATATCTTCATTTGTGTTGTATTGATAAAAAATGATTTTGAGACATGGACATATCAACCATCAACACGTGGCAGATATTGTCTAATCAACTCTAGGTCAAACTGGAAGGTTAGCTAAGGAAGTAATTATCTCTACATCACGGTCAGACGGTGTTAATCCAGAAGTAACCACCCGAATTTTTGAAAAATGATGGATTTTTCGGAAAGTATGTGAATGTATGAATAAGGTATCTTTGAATAAAAAATTAAGTACCCAGACGCAACAATTTAGAGTCTCCGGATAAGAAGGCCAATATACCAGCATTTTCTGAGAAATCCGAGAGTCAGTATTAATTTAGCAATTGCGGAATTCACCATTAACACAGAAGTTATAGATCTTCATACATAATGAAAGGATCAAATAAATGTTCATTAAAGAGGCGTGATTCAAGAAAATGGCTACTAGAGATTATTCCTATAAGTTTCACCATTAGGCTTCATTTGAAGACAGAGAAAGTACATCCTGAATTATCTCATAGAGATCAGATAATATTATCCAGAAGTGACCATTCGGAGTCTCTCGAAAGTCAAGTGTCTAAAGAGTTTGCACTAATTTCTTGGCATTAATTCCTTATGACGACTTTTATTTTTTCACATTTCGAGTCCTCTCATAGATTTATGTGATGATTTATGACTTGCGTGCACGGTCTGTGTCATTTTTCGGAAAAGTTTATGTGTAAAATTTTGAAGAAAATATAATTTTTGACTTAAAATGAGGTTAGAGTTGACAATAGTCAATATTTTTTGATAAATGACCTCGGATCGGTATTTTGACGCTTTTAGTATATTCCTATGATATTTTTGGACTTGTACGCGTGCTTGGTTAGGGTCTCTAGTGACCCGAGGGTGTTTTGGCGCATATGTGAAAGATTGAAAAATTTGGTTTAAAACTTGAAATTCTTGAGTTTTGATGATCGATTCTTGATATTTGATGTTGTTTTGATGATTTGAATGAGAAAGCGAGTTTGCATGGTATTAATACACTTATGTGCATGTTCGGATTGGAGCCCGAGGGGCTCGGGTGAGTTTCAGATGTGTTTTGCTTGATTTTGGAACTGCTGAAGCAAAGGAGCTGCTGTTGTGAGTTTGCAGGTCTTGCTTGCATTTGTGAGGACCAGAATTCAATTGCAAGTCTCGTATTTGCGATGTTAGGCTCGCAAATGCGACATGGGGTGGGAGACTAAAGACTTCGCTTCTTCGAAGAAGTTATCGCATTTGCGGACTGGTGGGAGGCTGCATTTGCGATCTTGGAGTCGCATTTGTGACAACTGAACTAGGCAAGCAGCATCGCATATGCAAAGATTTGGCCGTATTTGTGATGAAGGGGTCCTTCAAAAATGTGAAGGAATGTCGCATTTGCGAAAGCTGGGAATTGTGGCACTGATCGCATTTGCGATCAGTGGTTTGCATTTGCTGACACCGCAATTGCGAAGTTCACAATTACGATACCTGTAAATAGGTAACAGTGGAAAATTTTGGGACTTAGATAATTTTACATTATTTTACAACCCTAAACTCTCTAGGGGCAATTTGTAAAGAGGATTTTCTTTACAACATCATTGGTAAGCAACTTTAACTAGTTTTTGATCAATTTCAATTACTTATCCATGAATTTAATCACCAAATCTATGAGTTTCAAAGTAGAAATTAGGAATTTTGGGTAGAATTTAGGAATTTTTTAAAATTGAGATTTAGACCTCGAATTGAGGTCGGATTTCGAAACAAAACCAGTATGCGGGCTTGGGTGTGAATGGGTAAGCGGTGGTCCGAATCTGAGATTTCGACCACATTGGCCTGGATTGACTTTTGTTGACCTTTTCAATAATGGTCAAGATTGTACCTTTTTTATTCGTGGGTAGTTTTTGAAAGCTTATTTTGAATTGTTTGAACACTATTTGGCTAGATTCAATTAGTTTGGAGGCTTGTTTGAAAGGAAAAAGTCGTAGTTGATAGTTGATTGTGTTCCAGAGAGAGGTAAGTCTCGCGGTTAACTTTAACTTGAGGGAATTAGGACTTGTTTGATCTATTTGCTACATGAATTATTTGTGGAATGGTATATATGCAAGATGACGAGTGTATATGTACTGTCATAGGTTCAAGTATACGAGGTGAGGTTATTAATCAATATGTTATCATTTATTCCATGTTATATCTTGTTACATGCTTTGATTCCATGAGATGATGTTATTCTGGGGCCCTCTATTAGTTGACCTTCTGGTCCTGTTGTTGTGAGTTCACCTCTTTTCTCTATATTTCTGTTGTCATCTATTTATTATCTATATATATTTATAGTGAGTGTCTTGTCATAGCCTCGTCACTATTTCGTCGAGGTTAGACTCGATACTTACGGAGTACATGGGCTCAGTTGTACTCATACTACACTTCTGCACTTTTTGTACATATCCCAATATGGGTCCTAGCGGCGCATAGTGGAGATTGCTCGGGCCTGACCTATCCAGGAGACTTGAGGTAGAGCTGCACATCGCTCAAATACCCTGAAGTCCCCTTCTTATCTTGTTTACTATCTATTTTGTTTCGGACAGTTGTATTTTATTTCAGACTTTATTTTGTAGCATTCTAATCGCTCATATACTTGAGACTCCGAATTTCTGGGATTATCATAGACAACATTGCTATGGATTTATTATATGTATTTTAGAATATTTCAGTGTTTAATTCTTAATATTTTGCTTTTAAATTTTTAAACTAGTTAATTCCTTAGCTAATGTTGGCTTGCCTGGTAAGCGAATGTTAGGCTCCATCACGGCCCCGTGGTTATATTTTTGGGTTGTGATAAGTTGGTATCAGAGCACTAGGTTGCCTAGGTCTCACGAGTCATGAGCAAACTTAGTAGAATCTTGAGGATCAGTACGTAGACGTATACACTTTTTTTCTAGAGGCTATAACGCTTTAGGAAATTTCACTTTTTTCCTTCTCTATCATGCGACTTTATTCTATCGCTGAGTTTGAACCATTTTTCTCTTAATTTCTCGCAGATGGTGAGGACACGTACAACTTCCACAACTGATCAGGAGCCGGAGCCCCAGGTTGCAGCCACTACCAAGGGTAGGGGCCAGGGTCGAGGTAGAGCTAGAGGCAGAGGTAGAGCTCAACCAACAACACGCACAACAACACCTATTGTCGAGCCTCAGATCGAACATGATGAGGAGATCCTTGTTCCGACCATACCGGTTGGACCAGCTCAGGTCCCAGAGAGGTTTATTGCTACCCTAATGCTTCAGGACACCTTAGTCCGCTTGGTCGGTCTTATGGAGAGTGTGGCCCAGGCCAGTGTGTTCCCTGTGGCACCAGCCGTCTTTCAGGCTGGGGGAGGAGCCTAGACTCTCGCTACCCATACTCCAGAGTAGTGGTGCTTTTAGTGGGTTCCTCGTCTGG